GAAACAGCTGACCCTCCTAAAACAAAGACCTCTAGATAGGCTGAATAGATTCACCAGAAGGACAAGTAGTGGGGAATGGCCGGGGGTGCCGACAACACAGAAGACAGTGACACAGCATAGAATTTGGGAAATTAACAGCAGACCCCAATCTTATCTAAAGGAATGTTGGCAACTGATTGCTTCTAGATGAGGAAGAGCTCATCTTCCTAAAACAAGTATCTCTAGATAGGCTGACTAGATTCAGTGGATGGACAAGCACTGGGGAATGGTTTTGGGCACTGAAAACGCTGTGGACAGTAACAGGGATGCAAGAGTATATTGGGCTCCAGTGGTCCACGGGGTAGGCTATGGGAAGATGGCATTTGGGAAGTGAGTATATAGATGAATAAGATTGTTTGGGACATTCTGTATGAAATACACACAAAATAATCAACAAATTAAAAAATGAGTTACATTTGAGGAAGAAGCATATAATTTTACTTCATGTTAATTAGTAGAGGTGACAAACATTACCAATGAAATCTATCTGATGACTTTATATGCATACTCATGTGCCAAGGATCCGTGTGTAACTGACTGTGGCTAGTAGTAATCAGATACATAGAGATTAGAGACGTATGTGCAAACATCTAAGTGTTAGTAGCATTAAAAATGAATTTTTCTGTATGAAACATAATAATGAATAATGAAATGGAGATCTTTTTTTAAAGGTTAAAACCTGATTTAATTTTATGTCTTATAGGGTTTATACTGCGTAAAATATTGTGTAACTGTAACAATTCCACTGTAAACCTAAAAATTTACAGCCAATTTTGAAAAAGATCCATCTTAGCTCAGAAAATTGTTATTGAATATGTCAATGCTGTTGTAATGAAATGCTTCTTCTAAGAAAAAAAAAAAGATTTTAAAGGTTAAAACCTGATTTAATTTTATGTCTTATAGGGTTTATACTGCGTAAAATATTGTGTAACTGTAACAATTCCACTGTAAACCTAAAAATTTACAGCCAATTTTGAAAAAGATCCATCTTAGCTCAGAAAATTGTTATTGAATATGTCAATGCTGTTGTAATGAAATGCTTCTTCTAAGAAAAAAAAAAAGAACCCAGAGTTTTCTGCTATTACCCACTTTCACTGCTGGGTAGAGGCTGACCTAGGTTCCAATTTGCTGCTATCTTGCCAAAGAACAAAGCAGAAATGAATTGTGCTGCACCTTCCAGCAACTGTAATCCCTGAAAAGAATGCAGCACCAGGTTGATTTAGCATTCGGAGGGTGGAATATAATAAGAATGACCACTGATTCCTTAAGTCCCTCCTCTTGAATCTGGTCCAGTTGTACTTTAACTTTGAATAAATATAGGTAATGGCATCCTGCGTCAGTTTCCCAGCTTCCTTTTTTAATGGAGCATGCTCTCTGGGAGCCCAGAGGAGGATGCTGAGCCCAGGTATAAGGCTAGAATGGGTCTTCCAGATCCGCTCAATCTCAGCAGGAACATCATGGGTGTACACCAAGCAAGGCATCATGAAGCAGATGAACTGCCCAGCAAAGGCCTGATGGAATTCCTGATCCACAAGACCACAAGAAACAATAGAGGAGTTGTCTTAAGCTATTCAGGTGATGAACGTTTTCCATGTAGGAATAAATAATTAAATGCAGAAGGGAGAGGGGGCAATCCTGCTGCTAGCCTATCTTACTCTCATCTCTACACAATGTATTTCTTTCTTGAGAAAGTCCAAAATCAGCAGCAGTATCAATAGCAATCATCCGTGGAATAAATTGTCAGTATGACACTTACTAGAAGAACAAAAGTTACATTTTCCCCTTGTTGCCTATGCAGGACTGGTTCCAGGATTCCCAGCCCCACTACCAAAATCTGACTTTATGCAAAGTGATGTTTGTCTGTAACCTACACATTTCCCATACACTTTGCATCATCTCTAGATTACTTATACTTAATTTAATACACATAGTTGTTATGCTATGTTGTTTAGGGAATAATGGCTAGAAAAATAGCCTGCATATATTTATAAGTTTTATGCTTTTTCCCAAATATTTTTGACTTGCAGTTGATTGAATTTGAGAATTCAAAACTGATGACTCTATGCACAATCTAAGTAAAATATGTGCTTTACCTAATCGACTCTGAAGTAGCTTAAGGATTTTTCTTCTTTTATAAAACAATATACTTCCCAGTATTTGGGTGGGAAATGGATATAAACTAAACTGAGTTCATAATGGAGGAAATGGACATTGAAATAATACATGTGTGGCTTAAATTCTTAAGCCATAGTAGGCTAGTAGCATGCTCCCATACAGAACCGGGTCTCATAAATCTGTGACTTTCAAACTTCGATAGCAATTCAGGGTTAAGAAGTACATCCTACCTGGTATATGCACACAACTCTTCATGGTTTGTCCTTCTTGACTTGCCTCTATTGCATTAATGTACCATAAAATTTTGTATTCTATTTTTTTTGAAACACACTAAATACATTCCCTCACCTATTAACGGGTTGCACATTCTACAGTATCAAAACACTGCCCTAAACACTAAACTTCATGGGGTCTGGACCCTGTCCTACTTCTTATTGATTCTACTTGGTACTTAGAGAGATCACTGGTATAGAGTAGCTATTGAGAATTTAATGAATGAGTGAATTTCATGGCAACAGCTCCCATTTATTAAAATGGGAAATATTTTAACTGCAAGTCTGAAGATCCAAGGTCAACTCCTGACTCTTGAATCATAGATTCATTCTTAAGAAGTAACTTCACTTCTCAGTTTTCTTGGCTACAAAATAGAACCTGTAATATCTGATATTATGGGAATAAACTGAATCTTCAAATATAAAAATATTTAAATACAGAATTATAAATATCAAACTAGTGTACTTGGTATTTATGTATTTTGAAATGCCTATTGTATAAATGCTTAATTTTGTTACACAGTACTGCTTCATTGATTTGGATAAATTAATTGGGGTTGTACTGTTGAAACAAAGATGTCTGAATTTAGACAAAATATCCCAAATATGCTATATTGGGTAGATTCCTACCTTGAAGTACTAATTGAGTCATTATCAGATTAGCATATACAACAGTAGCAGATCCAGTACAGCCCTAGCACATTGTTTTTGTGTAATGGATATTTCAGAATTTCTAAAGAGAGATTTGACTGGATAAAGTGCCCAGTATTTCTTTCAGGATTTAATGATTCCAAGCATATGTATTGGAATATGCTGCCATTTCTGCATTACTGACGCCTGGTCTAAAAATGTCTGTGACAGACTTAAAGACTGTGGTAAGTTCTAATAATAACCAAGAGCTTTGATGTACCAACAGAGCTGGAAACTCCTCCAGTTCAGACTAGGGTGAACTTCCTTCTGTTTTCTCCATAAAGCCTACCAAGCACCTAGCATCATGGGCACACTCCCAGCAAGCTTTCTGGGAAAAGCAGCATGGTGCTGTGATTAGGTGCACTGGCTTTGACTCCGAGGTACTGGTGCTGGGTTCTGATTTAGTCACTTTTAAAACATGTGACCATCTTCAGGTTTCTTTACCTTATAATGAATGGTGACCATTAAATAAAATGTACAGCACACATGTCCACACAAGGTATTTAACTCAATACCCATCATATAGAAAACAATAAATGATAGTTTCTGTGAATTATATTTATTGTCTGAACTAGCTTGCTGTAACAATTAGGTGCTAATGAAGAGATTTGTTTAGTTAAGAAATAAGCATGTTTCTCTGTTTTACAGGTTTGACTTCAACCATTGTGAAACCTGGGAATTTAGTGGAAAGAGTGTAAATCCCTACGTCACAACAGCTGGCAGTTCAGGACTGAGGAGCTGAGGTATATGTAGTGCATCACTGAACACGTGCTCAGAACCTGTCAGTCTTTGCTCTGTAGGGCAAAAGGTTGCCCTGTTAAATTCTGTACTTTGTTGAAGAAACTGGGGCACTAATGCAGTTGCTCACCCTGTGATGCTAAGCTATTTTGAAGTATCCTTTCTAATCGACTAGAGGCACAATTGTGAAGCAGTCATTCATCTCTGTCACTTCTAGTCTTCCCTTCCCCCTTGTGGCTCTGTTCCCCTTCCTCTCTTTCAACCCTCTGTCAGTGAATTTCTCCTACTGTGCTCCACAAATTAACTGAACATGGCTTAAAAGACTGTCCCCCTTGGGAACATTTGTGCTTTAGAAAACTCAAAAGAATTAAATCATGTATTCTGGAAAGACAGTGTTTCAGACATTAGCAGGCCAGTAGGGGAGAGAGAACTTTGGTCTGGGGAGAATACTACAATCTTGGTCTCCTAGCTGATCTCAGCTGGAAAACACTGTGTCAACAAAACAGAAAGATCTATTCCAGCATTTTTGCAGCCATGTTTCACAGGAGTTTACTGTGGTTGAACACAAAGGGAATAGACAGGTGTCTTTGCTGAGAAGATCCTCAGACTCCTAAGTGTACATGGTAAAGGGAGTGCTCTGAAATTTAGAAGTGACTGGTTTTTAGTAGGTAGCCTCTCCTAATGATTTCATTATCTTTTCCTTTTCTTTTTTTCATGAAACACCCTCAGCATTGTGTGACATTGAACATTCTTTATAGGACACTGGCCCTCTAGTTCAATGGGTAAAGTGAGGCAGGAAGTTACAAGGGTGGTTTGTTTAAAGTAACCCAGGGAATTACTGCAACAAGATTAGAATTCCATATGATTACACAATCTGATTAAAAAGCTTCATTGTAGTTAGTGACTGAATGCCTTTTCCCTGCTACACTCCACCTAGTGCCCCAACAGAAATGTTGACACTTCTGCTCTGTTCTGTATCCTCAGCACGTATCACAGCCTGACACAGATACTGTGTGAATTAGAATGTATTAAAATTGGACTGCGATTGCATATGGGGACATGCTTTTTGCGCCCCTGCCATTATGTTCCCCTGCCTCCCACTGTGATGCAATGTGTGAATGAATCAGCTTTGATTTCCATACTTACATTGGGAATATGTGGTTGCAGTTGCGCTGACACTGAACCTGTTGAGGTGCAGTCTGTGTGTGACCACATTCTTCTGGGGTTGGAACAGGACGATGTGTACCTTGGGTGCAAACAAACAGCCCAAGACCACAAAACCACTCAAGCTAACGGAGATGCACATGGTTGTTGTCTGTACCTACAAGAAACATTGGCTAGTAAGTGTCCAGCTATAAATTCAGTCACATAGTCAACTAAAGAGAAGACTGGAATGAGACCAAACTAAGAAAACTAGAACGAGTCATTACTCTGTTCTTATTCTAGCTAAATCAATGTGCTAATTATATTGGGTCTTCTGTGTTGGGGATACTCATGAAAACAGTGTTTAGGATTTTGAAGCAAGCATGATTTGTGTGGGTTGCTCCTGAATGCTTGCCAAGACTTCACATAGATTTTCTTGTTTTGTTTTCTTTATATTTTTATAAAGATATTTATGCAGAACCATTGAGGATTAGTAAAACATAAATATTCAATGATGAAGGGGCTTATTGCTGATGGTGTAATCAATAAACTTGGCTTGTTCAGAGATCACATGTCCAGTTCCTTCAGTAAGTCACATGATTGAGTCTGTATTTATCTACAACTCTATGTTCTAATTATTTGTATACTACCAGTTCCCTTGCCCTTGCCTTTATCTTCCTCGGACTCATAGCAACATTTGACATAATTTATCACTTCCTTTCTTTGGGCTTTCTAGAATCATCCTTCCGTCAGTGGTTGATTGTTCTTGTTTTAATGAGCTCTTCTACCTGTACTTTAATGTTTGAAGTGTTCTAGAGGTCAGTTTTAGACTCTCTCCCCTTATGTCATTAAGTTCTTTTGACTTAAAGGCCTGCTATATTGTTTGTACCTGAATATTTACTAGTTTAAACCTGTTCTCTGTGCTTCCAGATTTACATATTTATCTGTCATCTTCTCATATTGTTTAATATTTAATAGGAATAAATGACGAACATGAAATCAAATATTACTTAATGGAAAACCTGGGAGTCATCTTTGATTTTTTTTCCACTGCCCTCACACTCAGTCAATCCAATCCAATATTAAGTTCCACTGGGAGGTAATTCTGTGTGGGTTTCATGTTTCTATATATCTAGTAAGCTAAGGTTATAATTGCTTATGTTCTGAACTTGCTTTTCATGGATATCCATAAAGAAAAGAACTTTAGAGGACAGAGATAGAGTCTACATCGAGTGCAAGAGCATACCCCTGTGTGAGACCTGGAGAAGAGACTGCTGCAAATGCCTGCGCTCTGGCTATTGCCACTGATGTGAGGCAATGCATAGTCAAATCCTATGTCTTCAACAAGTATTCTTAGAAAGACCAATTTTTTTAATCTCTTTTATTTTGAAATACATAGAAAGCCTAATCTCTGCCACTAATTTAATTATAAACTATCTGTGTTTGTTTCAAATTCTATCATGCTTGATGTGTTCCCCCAAAGCTGGTATATAAACCTTTCAAAGACTGAAATAATGTTTTACAATTTTTATTTGTTATTTTTGTGTTATGTGTATGAGTGTATTGCTTGCATGTATGTAAGTGCACCCATGATGTGCAATGCCTGTATCTGGAGTCACAGATGGTTGTTTGCCACCATGGGGTGCTGGGAATTGAACCTGGGCCCTCAGCACAAGCAGCCAGTGCTCTTAACGGTGGAGCCATCTCTTCAGTCCTGAAATCATGTTTTATATGTATAATTATTTTATAGCTTACCATGGGTGTCAAAGGTACTGAGCTTTGAATGTTTGTTTGGTGCCCAAATTCTTTCCATCTGCCCTTAAATTTTGGAGTACTTTTCTAATGTTGCTGATTTTGTATGAACCACGTGGTTTTTACTGGGAAAATTTTAATAGTAGTCTTGTTTGGACATTGAGAACAAGGATCCCAGGTACAGATGTTCACAGGATCTTTGAAAGTCCTTGAGTGTAGTGAGTCAGGTGTAACTACAGGATGGATGGATGTGGGCACCTGGAGGAGAGCACTCTGCCCTGAGGGGAGCTCTACCCAGAGTTCACTCATTGCTCTAGGTAGGAATTTGAGCCCACATATATTCCTTTGTTAAAAAATAATGCCAAGAATCTGCATATTTATGTAAAATTTCTCAATTATATCTAATTTTTACAAACATTTCAGAATAGTTGAGGCCAGATTAAACTTATCCATGGGAAAAGAAGACCACATGACTCATTTAGGCTGTGGTTGTCAGTCTTGGCTACAAATTAGAGTCACACAGAGCTTTGAAAAATCCTGATGTTCAAGTCACAGATGAGGCCAATTAAAACAGCCACTGGAGCTGTGTTCCAGACTTAATATTTTCAAATGCTGCTCCATTGATATAATATGTAAAATTTGAAAAACACCATTGGAGGTATTAGTCTACCTTTCTCATTTCCTTTGTAAATTTAAGGTGGATATTACTAATAAGAAGACCTTAGTGTGATTGGCATGGAACTTAAAAAGCTCCTTTCATAACTGCCACCCTTCCTTGTCCCATTCTATAATTGCTGGGATCGTCAGCAGTTCAATGTAGTCAGTTGCTCTACTGTATTGCTATCATGCAAGGGGAAAACTCATTTTTTGTGCATGTGAAATAGACGCTAACATGTTCAAGGAAATTACATTTTATAATGCTATTTATGTTTATTTTCAGCTTTACTTTTAAAGCAGAAGCTCTTTTGAGAATATGTAGTTGAAAAGCCTATATCTAGAGCAAAATAATTATCATTGTAACTATTTTGCATTTCCAATACTTTAAATCATGTTCACTATGAGTGGCTTCCTAAGAACAAAATCAGTTGTACCTGCAGATCTATGACTGAGTATATACATAAAGACCACAGATGGAGAGAGGAACACTAAAATCATTAACTTCTCCATTTTAATCCCCCAACTCTAAAAGTTCAAACTCTCTTACAGTTAATATATTCTGCTCTTTGATTTTGCCAATCCAGGTCTGATATTGACTCACCATAAAGATTTTAAATACTTGTAGAGGTCATCTTAAAATGCCTGAGCATTACTCTGACATTGAACTTATGTTCTTCATTTTTATTGTTTTTTTTTTTTTTTTACCTAATTCAATCCATAGGTTTCAGACACATGGCTGTGAATAACTTAAATTAGATATAGTACTCTTTGTCAGTCTCTTGATCCTATGCTTTAAAGTATTTTTTTCTTTTTGAAACATTGTTTTAACTAGTAGAAATTACAGACATATTTTGAAATATGAATGCATTGTAGAAGGCTAAAACAAATTAATTAGCATACATATTTCCTCATATACTTTTGTGGGGAGAACAACTAAAATATAACTTTTCAGTGATTCTCAGTGACATTAACTCTAGTCACCATGATGTGCCATAGGAATCTTGAACGTTTTTCTTCCTACCTAGGGTTTGATATTTGCTGTGTCTCCTTTTTGAGAACCAGTTTTCTAGAGTTTTGGTAATATGATTACTGACAAACCAAAGTAATTATCAAATTACTTCATTTTGTGAAATCATACTATAACAAAGAAATAGGGCTCTGAAAAACTTTCATATATGATGACCTAAGAAATACTGAGAATGAAAACCAGTTGCCAGCAAAAGGAAAAATATCTTATTACTCACTGTAAGATGTTATAGTCAGAAAGAATTACTAATGTCAAAATAATTGATGGATGGCTCAACGCTTTGGGAAATTGTGATGAAATGATGACATTTTCCCATATGATTTCTTTTTCTCAATTATACACAGTATGTTTGTATATACAACTAAAGGTTTAGAAAAGCTATAGTAAATTATTGTGTATTTTGGTACATTTTAGGGAGGTAATAAAGCGTGAATTAAAGTTTTAGATCTTTACTCTGATCCTGGCTTAATGCTACAAGAGTATTTTAATTTATAGATGCATCTATTGTAGAAAAGTCCTCTTGTGTCTAATTTCAAGTATTCTCATTAGAATTTTTTAGTGATTAAGTCTTATTTTCTTGTCAATTGATTTTTAAATTTAATGTTTTTATGTGTATGACATTTTATTAATCACTAGGTTATTAACTGCTTGAATGACCTTCACAGTTATATTTACCCCTCTGGGCCTAGTACAGTGTTCTGAACAAGTTAGGTACTAATTAAATGTTATTAAAGCATACTTAATTAATTTTCCCATATCATATTGAGGTTAATCATGGCATTTCTAATTATTTGATTCATTCCTGAGGTAAAATCAAAGGAGTCTATCCTAAATCCCACCCAAAAAAATACTGATAGATTAAAAGAACAAAGGAAAGAAGAAATCAGTCAAATCAAGGAAAAGAAGAAACCAATCAAAGACTTACTCTGTAGTCACTTGATGTCACATAAAATATTGGCAGGAATGCCAACCAGATGATGCAGGTGGTGTACATGGTAAAGCCTATGAACTTGGCTTCGTTGAAATTTTCTGGGCACTTCCTTGTTTTGAAGGCATACACAGTGCATAAGATCACTAGGATCACATCGTAGGTAAGTGAGATCAACATGCTGGAATCTTTGACATTGCACTTGAGGATGACTGTTTCCCTCTTCTCTGGAAGGGTATACCTTCTGGTGCCTGGGGCCTCCAGAATGAGCCACACAGACACCATCACAATTTGTACCAGGATCAGACCCAGGCAGATAAAAACCTGAGAACTGGGGCTGATGAATTTTGGCCTCTGAGCTCCATTCTTGACCCCATCGAAGATGCGAGCGATGCAGTTTGTCTTGGTCAGCAGGGCTGAATAACAGATGGCAAAGGAGGTCCCCAGCCCAAGTCGGCGCAATGCACAGATGACAGGTGATGGCTTAGCAATGAAGAAGAATGTCATGCAGTAGGACAGGCCAACCCCAAACAACAAGATGTAGCAGAGTTCTCGGCCTGATGCTTTGACCAAGGGTGTGTTATTGTGCTTGATAAAAACAGTAATAACCATGCAAGTACACATAAAACCCAGGCAGGCAATGGTGACTGGGCCAATGGCCCAGGCATCTTCCCACTTGATGTAGTCCTCAGGAAGGTTGAAACACCCAGATAGGTCTGCAGTGGGCCACTGGCCGGGCCCACAATCCATACAGGTGAACTCATCAGCCAGGTATTCGTAGGGCTCACAGGGGATGCAGATCCAGCAACAGACATCCCCTGGCTGCATGTTTTTCATTTCATTGGGGGCACAGGGATCACTGCACTGGGATGTGGGGACTGAGTTCCGGGACCAGTGGATAGAGTCCACATCTAGAGATAAAGTTTCTGCCCAGTGGCCAACCTTCAAGTAGGAATACTTTCCACCTATGTATTGGAAGTTGAACACGTTGTATCTTCCCATCCCATCTCCGAAGGTGTCAAACTTCACGATGCTGTCTGCTCCTTTATTTGGGTTGAATGGTGCTTTGATATTCAGAACGAAAGAAAAGAAAAGAACACTTGTTTAGGTGTCTCATACGTGATCAGTCAATTACTGTACGCCATACACTTAGCAGAACTGAAGTGATGGGATGGGGATACCAAGGCTGACATAATTTATCAGTTACCATTGCAAGCTGCACATCAAAAGCGGCCAGAGTACTTAAGCATTCATAAATTCACTCACTTTACATTGCTGAGTGTCTAATGGTGCCAAGTGCCAGGGATAATAATGAACATAATACAGTGCTGCCTTCAAAGGAGCTTATTATGTAACAGAAAAGCACTGGCAAACTTGTAGTTATATCCTGTGTAGTGTGAAATGTTATTTTCTTGAAAGCTTTACAACAAGAATTGGGCAGAACTTTATGTCTCATTCTATATTTATTTATGCATAACCACTAAAATATTTACTATTGTATTTCCATGACAATATAAAATTAACAGGAAGAAATTTTCTTCTTAAAATAAGGATTTCTCAATATATATGTATGATACATACCTTTTAATCATTTCAGATGATTCACAAAGAAAAAACTTGAAATCTGCTTATAGTCCTTCCATAATTTTTGCTTGGATTTTGACATATAGTTTTGGTATGTAGCTCAGGCTAGCCTCAAACTCTGAGAAATCCTCCTGTCTCAGCATTTTGAATGCTGGGGTTACAGTTACATGCTGCTATGGTTGGCTAGATATTGTACAGGCACCACCATATGTAGTATATCAGCAAGTGTGTTTTGATGTTTGTTTCTAAGTGTCTGTGCGGGGGAGAGTTCTTAGAAAATAGTCTGTTTCTAACCCACTCCATTTTCTACATCTCCTGAACGTCCCCAAAAGCAGCTGGTCTCTGAGCATCTGAGCTTCTGCCTTTCTTCCACTTACAGCCATCATCTCCCCTTGCCAGTGTCTGTCACTTCAAACAATATTTCTTTAAAGCTCCTTCAGTACAGTTTATTCTTTTTACATCTTGTTTTGCATTTATTAAGTACCATAGAAATAGTACACTCAAGTAACAGCTCCAGAGAGAGACACCATGAACTAAAAGGGGAAGTTTTACTCAGTGTGGCCCCTTTTTACCTGGCTTGCTCACCTCCTCACTACTGATGCTCTCTGTGGTATTTACTATGTAACGGTCTTCAAGATGCAGCTGCAATGTGAATTTCATTTGGCACCAGGCTCAGCCTGTGACTATGTGATCTTTTATTTTTATGCCACCCATTCTAGGATGCTGTGAGCTTACTATTTCACACTACCAGTCTTTCCTCTTTCCTTAGGAGAAGAACAGCTCAGCTGTCTAAGTGATGAACAGTCACACACCATTATGGTGGGATTACTAGCATGGTACCCATGAGTATGTGGTGAAACCAAGAGAGTAGAATAAGATATCCATTACTAGACCTAGTACATTCTAGAAAGTTGTATATGCTAAAGATAGCACCTTAAACAAGAGAATATATTTCATACACAATGTTAGGTAGGTAACTGCTTAATCAACTTAAGAATTTTGAGCCTATATCTCATAACTTATGCCCGAATAAATTCTAGAAGGATCAAAGTTTTGTATATGAAAAAACAAAACCATAAAAGATCCCAAATAAAACAAACAGAACATATTAATATCAGAGTAGGAAGTCTTTTTTTTAAAGCTACTGAGAGAACTAAAATGTAATAATATGGAAAATTTTTAAGTTCCAAATAACAGGAGCTGGGGAGGTAGCTCAGTTGGTAAAGTACTTGCTTCATGAGCAGAAGGACTTGAGTTCAAGACCCAGTACCCACATAAAAAGCTGGGCATGGTGGTAGTACTTGTAATCCCAGTGCTGGAGTGGTCAAGGTAGGAGGATCCCTGGGGCTCTCTGGCCAGCCAGCAAAGCTGAGTGAGTGAGCACCAAGGTCTCAGTGAGAGAATCTTTCTTAAAACCAAGGTGGATGGTTCCTCAGGAGTTCTGGTTTTCCATAAAGAAAATCCAATAGAGAAAAATGCAAAATTCCAAAGACAAAAATAACAGTCCTTCAAAGATATTCACAGCCTAATTGCCAAAAAGCTCAAAATGTTATGTCAGGCAGCAAAGAGGAATTAAAGTTGGAATTAAGGTTTCTCTCAGCTGACATAAGAAGACTACCTTGCTTTATGTGGGTAAGCCCAGTGCTATTAACACAAGTCCGTAATGTTGAAGAAGGGGCAGAAGTGTCAGTGTCTGAGTGATGGATATAGAAGATGAGGCTCACCACTGTCGGCTTTGAAGATGGAAAGAAGCTGCCAACATAGGTGGTCAATAGAAGCTGGAAAAGGAAAGAAAGTATATGTTTCTCCTGGGACTTTCAGGAAGGAATGCAGCATTGCCAACACATTACTTTTTAATCAATGGGATTCATTTGGACTTCTAACCTCCAGAACTATTAGAAAATAAAATTATGTGGCTTTAAATCACCAATTTTGTGGCCATTTGTTTTAGTAGCAATAGGAAACCTATACACACAATAAAATTATTTTTCGTTTGTAACATGCTTTGCTGATGAGGCTGTAGTGAAGCAAAAAATCTCTGATTCTACTTTCAGGTGTTTAAATTAGCACACTTCTGAAAGACAGAAAAATGTCATTTTTTTCAAAATTACAGGTGCATCCAAGTTTTGACTTAGCAGTTTTAATTGGTAGGATACCATCTACAGGTAATTTTGCCTATGTGTGAAAGATATGTTTTATAATGTTGTTTACTGAAGGATTTGTTTGTAACAGAAAAACTTGGAAATCACTCAATCATTCATCAACTGGAATCATTAATAATAAATAAAATATTATACAACTGTGAAATGAGGACATTTTCTATCTTAAATGGTATGGACATATTAGGATAAAAGCCCCTAAAATCACTTTATTACCTTATTTTTGATACAGGTCCCATTATGTAGCTCTTGCTGACCTAGGACTTACTATTTAGACCAGACTGTCCTGAAACTCACAGAGATCCATTTGCTTCATCATCCTGAGTGCTGAAATTAAAGGTGTGTGCTACCACATCTGGCAAAGTCACATTGTTATGTATGAACAAAATGTTTGTTCAACTATGGTGTATGGGAGTGAGGAGAGCAAAATGATCAGCTCCATTTTGTTTTCTGTACATTGGTGGAGGACCTCTAGAATGACTGTCCTCTGGCCACAAGTAGCTACACCAATACTTTCAGTGGAATTTTTTGTGTGCCTGAATGTGCATGTATGTTTGTATACACATTTGTGTATGTGCATGTGCCTTTGTGAAGGTGGGAAGTCAACATTGGTATGTTCCTCAATATCTCTCCACCTTACTTGCTAGGATAGGGTCTCTTGTGGAACCTGGAGCCAGTGGGCCCAGGGATGCTTCTGTCTGCCTCCCTAGCACTGGTATTAGAACTCTGAGATTACAGGTGTGCTTCGCCACACCTGCTTTGTTTAATGTATGTTCAGGAGAATTCAACTCAGGTCCTTATGTTTGCTCAGGAAGTACTGACTAAGCCATCTCCCCAGTTCCTAGAATTTGTTTCTTAATAAAAATTTACCTTTCACTCTGTGGTAAGTTGCTACCTGTTGCAAAAGAAGCTTCTTTGATGAGTGGTGACTGGCATACTTGCCTGTAAGAATATTAAGTGTCTGTGAAATGCCCAACTCTAAGTGACACATCTACAGTGGAACCTCTACACCTAAGGCTCATAGAACATAGTGGAAAAGGGATAGAGAGAATACTAATGCATCTCTCAACTCTCCCCAGTGAAGCTCCCTCATGCAACAGAGGGCAATGAACACAAAAGGCCACAAATGGCCACAGCATAGAGGATAAAAATCTGCAGGGTGTGGGTTCTTGGACAAGATGCTAACTTGACTTGATAGGCCTTAGCATAAATGACAGAATGCATGAAACGCAGTGGGGAGGGGGCTATGGGAAGGTGCCAATGGGGAGCAGGGTATAAAGATGATTAAGATGTTGTGTATGGAACACACAAAAATTCAATAAAAATATAAATGCTTACCTTTTACTAAATTTGTTAGACTATATACAAGAAAAACACAGTCCAATATCTAAATCCTTTAAATACACAAATCACATTAAGATCCTTCAATGAATATGTTACAAATCCTAACAAAAATCCATTGTCAGAATTGCCCTGATTCTTCATTTAGAATATAGAGTGCTGTGACAGTACCAGCATGAAAAAGAATAAAAGGAGATCCTAGAGAAAAAGATGAACCACATATGACACATATTCTACCTGTCTTTGAACCATGATTCCAAATACTACGGTGGGTGAGGTAGTGACAAGCAGATACAGAATGCAAGCTCTTGAGCACTGGTGGCGTGACTTCAAGTGGCAGAGCAGCTAAAGCCCATGTGTATTGATCTGTTATCTTCCTGATGCATTTAGAGTTGTCTCCAGGTCAAATGACTCACTAGGGAGATAGTTAGGACCCAGTGAACCACGATTCTCTAGCAATCAATTGCATAGTTCTTTAGTGTGGGAAAACTCTAGAGAGATTGATATTTCTCAAGTTGGATCTCACCAGGGGAGTAAGTACCATTCAACATGAAAAAAAATAAATCACTTCACCTTCCATTGATACTGCAACAGCCTGAAAGAACCCAGACTATGGGGGAAAGAGTGACAAACAGAAAGATAGAATAATTTTTAAAAAGCCTCACAGTTGTCTTCAAAACCCAATTTCTAGTCCCTTCCTCCTCTAATGCTGCAAAAATCAAGTCCTCATTTTCAGACACAGCTTGATCTGGTCTCAGGTCAAGACTGTGGTTTTTAGCATAGGTTATTATCCAATTAGTACTGACCCCAGGTTCAGGTTTAATACCAAGATGACCAGCCCTCCTAGGACCCATTTGGTTGAGATGAGTCAAGTCTATTCCTTAGAAATATCATAGGGCAATGGTAGTAGAAAATTAAATTGGTTCTTTTTTTTTCTCTCTCTCAGTAGTCCAATTAAGGTAAGACAATAACATGGCTCTTATCAGGACTTTAGTAAAGGCAACTTCACCTCCACTGCCCAGGCTCACATTGGTAAATACTAATGAAGATTGCAGAAAGCTACCAACAGTAGCATGGCTTTGATTTTAGAACTGGAGCCTCACTAAAGTGGCTATGACCATAAACGTAAGAAGAATTCAGAAAGTGCCATCCTTCTCCACATTCCATGGCAGAGGTCAGAAGTTAAGAAGCCAAATTCTTTAGGCCAGAGGTGACAATGTCTTTTACCAACAACATGGAACGAGAAGATTGGAAACAGTAAGAGTGAATCCCTGGCTAGAAGGAATTTACCAACCCAGGAGGAGCAGAATTGTTGAGGCAGTTCTCATAGCTGTCAACTGAGTGCAGCAGCTGGGGCCTAGTGCTGCTTTTTTCTTGTTCTCAGTCTTGCATGTGGGAAATGCTCAACAAGAACTTAACACTCACAGTGAAAGAGAGTGCTTGGGAAAAGGTGCTGGAGGAGGAGGAACTTTTGAAAGAGACTCTCAGTTCTCCTGAAGAGTTAGCAGGGTGATGCTTCGGGGCCAGGGGGTGGGGGGGTCACAGGCTTCTCTCTGGATTTTGTACAGTATTGCCGATACTGTCAGTGCTCAAGGCAATTCAGAAGGTAGCAATCTAATATTAGTGGAGAGATCAGACATAAAGAAAACAAGAGTGAGTGTAAAATGGAGGGATTCCAATCCTCTCTAGCCCCAATCCAGGGGTAAACTTGCAGACCACTCACCTTGCTTTACTCATTTTAGCTGTAGGTATCAAAGTCGATGCTGACTTTTGTTAGGGCCCTCCTTCATGCAGGCTCATCCTCATCCTATTAGCATGCTTTTTTTTTTTTTAACCCTTTTCCCTAGACTCCTGACCTCTTGTTTTAGAGATACTACTTCTTTAGAATTTGCACTAATAAGTGCCTAGATTTATAAAAAGCATTTTACTGAAATGAAATAATATAATGTTAACATAAGATAAGTAAATTATTACAACTGAAAACACACAAGTAGCATCATGACTATTAGGATGTGCAACACTTTTCTTTCGTTCCTGTCCCTACCACTTGGCCCTTCTTTTCTCCAAAGGCAGCCACCATCTTAACCTCTGTTATCAGTGTATCAGTATGCTAAAGTTTCTATAACAAATACACCAGAAAGTTTGCGACTTGAAATGACAGAAATGTATTGTCTTACAGCTGTCTGAAGTAGAGTTAAAAGGTATAGTTTCTCCTGAGGGCTTTGCAGGGTAGTCTCTTCCAAACTTTCTTCTAGGTGGGGTACTTTTTAAGAACTCTTTGGTGTCTCCTTACTTGAAGCTCCATCACTCAATTATGAACCTCCATGCTCTTCCTGTGCCCTGTCTTTGTGTTCAAACCCTTTTATATGGACACTAGTGATATTTGATCAGAGTCTACCCTAATGAACTCATTTTAATTTGGTTATAATATTGAGGCTCTGTTCTTAAATAAAGTAACATTCTGAGATAGAAAGGCTATGAATTTAATATGTGTTTTGGAAGGAAAGATATAATTCATGTTATAACAACCATATGCTATTATGTTGGTATTAAAGTTTATATAAATGATGATATCATAAAGTATTAGTTGGTACTAATATCGTTTGGCTAAAATTACATTATTTGAGATTCATTCATGCAGTGACAAGATGTATAATTAGTTCACTCTATTATTTTTTCTTATTTATTAATTTTGTTTTATGAGTGTATTGCCTGCATGTATATAAGTGTACCTGTGTCGTGCAATGCCTGCAGATGTCAGAAGAGGGCATCAGATTGCCCGGAACTGGAATTACAGACTATTGTTAGTCACCATGTGGGTGCTAGAAATGGAAGCTGGGTTCTTTGCAAGAGCAGCCAGTGCTCTTGACTGCTGAGCCATCTGTCTAGTCCTCCTCATTTTTTTTTTTTTTTTTTTTTTTTTTTTTTTTAGAAAGGGCTTTTTTTTTCGTGGTGCTTTCTAATCACAACACACTCTCTC